GACCCTCAGAACCTGCTGTGGGGAGGCAGCCTTTGCTCCCAGCCTCACCAAGCACTGCTTGAACCTCACTTCCTGCTTCCTCTGGGGCCAGGCAGGGGACTAGTCTCAGGCCCTGGGACTGAGTCTTGTTCAGTGCTGCATCCTAGGCCTGGTGGGTATTGGTATGGATACTGGCAGATGATGGAGGGTTAGAAAGGTAGGCCCTGAGTCAGTAGAGCCAAGCCCTGGAACAGTAGAGATTGGAGCTGAAGGAGGCCTCCGGAGTGTGTGTGAGAGAGAGAATTTGTGTGTGTCTCCATGTCCCAGATGTGCCTTCTCTTACTGAAGTGACCAACTGCCTGGCATTGGCCAGGTTCTTAATCCATCTGTCATGCCAGTCGGGGCCAGGGCTTGGGTAGGTGAAAACATTCTTAGGACTGGTCTTGAATGTGCAGTTTGGCGCTGCTAGTGTTCATGTGGCTGAGGCTGAGAGGTCCTGTGGCTTGTGGCAGGACAGATGGAGCAGGGTTTGAACATGGCCTTGGGAAGAACCACACATTTGTTTTTTCAGGAAGCAGACACTTGGGCAGTGGGAGAGTGAGGTGTGGGGTGGATTGGCCTGCTTTTGAAGAATGTAGTTTTGTGGAACCGGCTTTTGACAACTAAAGTGTCCGTTCAGGAGTTCTCCACAGGCCCCTGTGGGGGCACCGGGTTGTGGGTGCGGGTGTCGAGGGTGAGCTGCTGTTGGCCCAGCATGGCTCATCCGGAAGCTCCTGCACCTCCCACAGACACGGAGCTGCAGCTGCGCCGTGATGCCATCTTCTGTCAGGCCCTGGTGGCCGCCGTGTGCACCTTCTCCGAGCAGCTGCTGGCCGCCCTCGACTACCGCTACAACAACAACGGCGAATATGAGGAGAGCAGCCGAGACGCCAGCCGCAAGTGGCTGGAGCAGGTGGCGGCCACGGGCGTCCTGCTGCACTGGCAGTCTCTGCTGGCACCAGCCACCGTGGTAAGCGACCCGGGGCGGGCGGCAGCATGGGAGGGACGCTATTGCCGGCACTCTCCGCTCCTGCTCACCCAGGAGTTCATTCATGTGGTAGTGATTTCCTGAGCGTTTACTGTGAAGGTTGGGGATTTGTGGATGAACAGTAGGTCCTGTGCTCTGCGGTGTCCTGAGGAAGGGAGGCAGGCAGAGAACAGACCGAGCACTGAGCCATGGGCAGGAATCTTGTGACAGTCTGGGTAATGGTAGCTGATGAGTCCAGAAGGGGAGAGAGTATTACTTGCATCTAGTGGCTGTGCAGTGGCCAGGGGTGCTGGCTCAGCATCCAACAGCAGCTCCAGTACGCAGCGGCGGCTGCAGAGACTACTGCAGGTGGCCTGGGGGCCGCAGCACGGCCTCAGGTTGCCCCTTGGCAGCCACTGATGAGCACGGCTGCTGGTCTTCAGAGATCTGCCTCTGGGCCAGAAAGTCACACCACAAACCTCCTTCCGCGCTCTCCCCACCATGCCAGCCCTCACTAACCTTTCCTCTCAGCTCATTCGCTGATGTCAAGAGCACTGAGCTGGCCGCCGGGTCTGCAGCTCACTTCCTGGCAGGAGAAGTACACTGGAGGGAGGTTGGCGCCAAGCAGGGGTCAACTAAGGAAAGCCTGGAGGCCTTGGAGTTTCTCTGGAGGTCAAAGCCAGACTTTCCAGCAAGGCTGCTTTCAGGCTATAACCTGTGCCAGCCAAGACGGTGCAAGAAGGAACTGCACGTGCAGAGGCCCTGGGCAGAGACCCGTGTGGCCAGTGGGGACAGGCAGGGAAGGCAAGGGTGGCGGGCAGGAAAAGGCAACTCAGAAGCCAGACAGGGCACTCGTGTGACCCAGAAGCATGTCACCCTGGGGAGAGCCGATTAGGACCTAGATGGAGAAGGACTCTGAGATATCCTGGTGGGAAGTGGTCCTGACTGGAATCGGGTTAACGTTAGCCCGGAGGCTGAAGGGAGGCAGACTGAGTGTGTCCTAGCAGTTGCCTGTCAGGCTTGGCCATGGCTGCTGGACAGGCTTAGAGGTCCAGGATCTGGAAAGCCTTGAGGAAGGGGTGCAGAATGGGCTTGAGGGGCCAAGAAAGGAAATGCAGATGCTCACAGAGTCGGCTGCGTTTTGGATGGGACTTTGTGTGGCTTTACTGGGGCCACACAGCAAGTCAGAGCAGAGTTGAGTTCTGACCCATACGGGGCACAGCACAGGCGGTAGGGTGGGATGAACCATGATGTCACATTCAGAGCAATACCCAAGACCCCCCCAGGCCACCCAGCCTCACGGGTGAGAAACATGGCATCTCTGGGGCAGCCCAGGACAGGCTGGCATCTGAGCCCTCCTCACCACACCCTCTCACTGCAGAAGGAGGAACGGACAATGCTGGAGGACATCTGGGTGACGCTGTCGGAGCTGGACAATGTCACTTTCTCCTTTAAGCAGCTGGATGAGAACTCCGTGGCCAGTGAGTGAGCCCGCCCTTCCTGCTCAGCCTTCCCTCTCCAGAATGCTCAGAGCCACCCTGGGCCTCCTCTGCCGCTTCAGACCTCACGCCCCAACCCGAGTCTCAGAGTCAGCCTTTGGGGAGCACATGGAGAAGGAGGGGTGTGTTAGCTACTTCTCTTGTTGCGCCAACAGAATACTGGGCAGAGTCTTAAGCTGACAGCACCCATCTGTGCACAGGCTGAGATGTGCACAGGCTGAGATGGGCTCAGGGATCAGTGATTGATTAGTGATGCCTGCTGGTAAACATACGGGGCTCTGAGTCACGTTTGTCAGTGGCAACTCTTTCTTATGGGTGCCGATAAGCTGCAGGGCTATGTTTGAACAGCTTTTGCCAGGTAGAGGAGCTCTGAGCTGCCAGGCAAGGGAGTCACAGGACGAGGTCGTGGAGGCTCTCCCCAGGGTCAGAGTCAGTGTCTGTGCCAAGAGTAAAGGAAGCAGTGGAGAGCCAGGAGCTGTGGGAGCAGGTGAAGGAGGAGGTCATCACAGGCTGGTCTGGAGGCCTGTGGGGCTGTTCAGAGCTAAGTGTAGGGGGTGGGCTGGTGTGTGAGGCTGCCCCTCTGGGGTGTTCGGGCTGGGAGGCCTCAGATGTCATTCTGTGGAAACACAGAAGTCCCAGCATGCCACCCCAAAGCTGGAAAGACGAGAGGGTCTGAGGCTACCCCTATGACTCAGGAGGGCTGGAGGTCTGAGGTTAGCCCTCTGCAGTGCCACTCAGGCCTCCTTAGTGAGCCTCCCCGCTCTGCCTCACCCTCCACAGACACCAACGTCTTCTATCACATCGAGGGCAGCAGGCAGGCACTGAAGGTCGTCTTCTACCTCGACGGCTTCCACTTCTCCAGGCTGCCCTCTCGCCTGGAGGGTGGGGCTAGCCTCAGGCTGCACACTGTGCTCTTCACAAAAGGTGAGCAGCCAGCCTGGGAATCCTGGTCGGAGAGGGGTGGAGGCAAGACCACCGAGCAGCCTAGGGCCCAGCACCTACCCTCTTCGCTCCCCCTCCCAGCTCTGGAGAACGTGGACGGGCCGCCGCCCCCAGGCAGCCAGGCCGCAGAAGACCTGCAGCAGGAGATCAACGCTCAGTCCCTGGAGAAGGTGCAGCAGTACTACAGAAAGCTCAGGTAGCTGTCCTGGGTTGGCGGGGTCGGGGTGGGGATGAGGGCGCTGGGGAGGGGTGGGAGAGCTCGGGCAGGGAGCCTGCAGCACCCACAATCTCACCTTCACCAGACCCCCCAGTACAGGCCCCCAGCCCTGATCTTTCATAAGCCCTGTCTCATTGCTCTCCCTGCAGCATCAGGAGGCAGGGAACAGGGGCCTGGGTTTCCATGAAGAGGGCCACTCTTTCCCAGGTCTTTTCTGAGCATGTGCAAGTTGGAAAATGAAGCTTCTGTGCATTTACTAGGCAATAAGACCCAGACATGATTTACAACTCATCTACCCGATTAGCTGCCTGGTGCCTTGGCACGGTGTGTTCACGGCGACTTTCTGCACTGCCCTGCACTGCTCCGGGACTCGGGAAGCAGTCCTGTTCTTCATGAACGCTTGTTCTGCCAATGCTGGGCCACCAAATCTGGCCTACGCCTTTTGTATAAAGAAAGTTTTATTCACACACAGTCAAGACAATTTCTTCCTGAATATTTTGTGGCTTTTTTTTTTTCTATGTATAACAGAAGACAAGGACTCCGTTTAAAAGGGCCGATGTTTTCTGGTTGGCCCTGTCTAGAAGGATTTAGAGGGCAACAAAGACCATAAGCTGGTTCTACATAAACCCAGAACAATTTTGTGCCAGTTGCTCAGTGTTCAGAGGAGAGAAAGCAGGAATGGGGATGGAGGAACAGGGCAGGGGACTATTGTCTGGGGCAGGCAAGCAGAGGTAGCCTTGAAGCCCAGGGGCCATTTCTTGCCTCCCCGGGGCTACTGGAGGAACAGGCCACAGTGGAACACATGCAGCCCCACAGAGGTACTCAGTGCCTTCCTTCTGAGAGTCTTGGGAGGACACGGGGCTGTAGCTGTAGGGGCTGGGACCCGGGGCAGGGGTGGGATGGAGCATGGGTGTGGGGGCAGGGTGCCCAGCCTCATCTGCTTCCTTCAGGGCCTTCTATCTGGAGCGGTCCAACCTCCCCACAGATGCTGGCACCACAGCTGTGAAGATCGACCAGGTATGCTCCTGTTCCTGGAAGCCTGGGCACGGTGGGGACCCTGGGGCTGGGTCAGTGCAGGCTGAGGCAGCCCTAACCAGAAGCAGGCCCAGAAGCCCCCTGCAGGCCCTGCCAGCTTGCTTCCTCCTCCTAGGACATCCTTGGCTGACATGCTCTCGCTGGCCTCTCTTGCTTGGGGGCTCTATGTGAACACTTTGTCACGTGTCTTGAGCCGCAACCCCCAGGGATCGGAGTGGTGAAGGCCACACCAGGTGTGGATCCGCATGGCGTTCCTTTTGCTTCAGGTCATTGCCAGACATTTAGAAACCAGAATTTCTCCATTAAAGCCAGAGGCTTTGCCATTTCTTGACCTTTTGGCTAAGAGCAAGTGTCGTATCTGTTCTTACCAGTTTAGTGCCTGGTCGGTCCCCTGAGGACAGTGACAGCAACAAAAATAGATGCTCCCAGCTGCTTGTGAGAAGTGGAGCGCTCTGGGACCGAGCTGTGGGCTCAGTTCTATTGTGTCGGGATGGGTCTGAGCAGTTTCTGTCCCTCTGCCTTTCACCCACAATGCACCACTCTGGGCCTCCTAGTTCCCAGGTCCAGGCAGATCTTGAACTTGGAACTGGTTGTGAGGAACTGGCCATGGGGCTCAGAGGCTGTGAGCCTTTAGGAGTGTGGGCACCATCTTTGGGAATTTTGTAGTCTGTTGGATGTAGACCAGAGCATCACAGTGGTACATGGTTGAGGGAAACAGCCTAAAGGGAAGGCTTGTGACCTGGAGAGGCCTCTTGGACTGGTTGTGACAGGTTTAGGGAGGATGGAAGAAGTTACCTGTTTAGGCTTAGGTGGGGCTGTGCTTGGCACGGGAAGAGCTAGGTTGGAAGGTCAAAATTGAAACAGTAAACACCGAACACCAGCTCACGAGGCAATGGGAGCTGCGGGTGGTTCTTGAGCCTGAGAGGGATTCTGGGAAGGCAGCTGTGTATCAGCTGGACCTGAAGGGTGACACAGAAGGCCAGTGGAGGTCTCAGGGCTGCAGGCCTCTGCTGGACACCTGTCACTTCCCCTTGCAGCTGATCCGTCCCATCAACGCCCTGGATGAGCTCTATCGCCTCATGAAGTCCCTCGTGCACCCCAAGGCTGGTGCTGCCGGGAGTCTAGGTGCCAGTCTCATCCCCATCTCCTCTGAGCTCTGTTATCGCCTGGGGGCGTGCCAGATCACCATGTGTGGCACCGGCATGCAGCGGTGAGCCTGGGTCAAGGCCAGAAGAAACAGAGTGGGGCTGGGTAGGCTCTGGGTGCTGTCTTGATCTCAGCCAGTTCAGAAGGGAGACACTAACCGTGAACAGGCCATCTTGCCGGTGTCCACCGAGGGGAACAGCTGTCTCCATGTAACGTATCGAGCCAGTGTGAAGCAACCCAGTGTTCTCAGCTGGGGTGATTTGCTTTTCTGGGGATACACAGCAACATCTGGATCCATCTGTGGGGAGGAAGGAAGGGAAAAGGAGCAGGCAGAGGCTGGAGAAACTGCTGAGTGTCTTACACTGTATCAGGGGAGGCACGGTGCGACACAATTAGGGAAACTGAGGTGCAGGGCACAGGATGGCTGGATGGGAGCGTAGATGACTCCAAGAGATCTGTCTCCCAGCCTGTTCACAGGAGTGGACACGCCTCTGTGCCCCTCTCCAGCCCCGAGAGAGCCTCCAAGGACCATCCCTCAGATATGTGTTTGCCCTCATAGAAAGCTCCAGGAGCCCCTAGTTCATGGTACTGCCTTAGGGGTTGTGAATGGCATGCATTGAGGGCACGGGGCCTGACGGCAGGATTCCAGGAACCTCCCTGAGGGGAAGTGGTTATCTGGGGGTAAAGGGAGGAAGGGAGGCCTGGTGGACAGGAAGCGGTCCGTGTCTTACCTCTTCTTCCCCCGATGCAGGAGCACCCTGAGCGTGTCCCTGGAACAGGCGGCCACCCTGGCGCGGAGCCACGGGCTGCTGCCCAAGTGTGTCATGCAGGCCACAGACATCATGCGCAAGCAGGTGAGGAGGTCATGCACAGCGGCGATCGAGGCCGGGGACCCTGAGCTTAACTCCTGAGGCTCGCCACAGCCACAGGATGGTCCTCAGCCCCAGACGCACCACTCAGTCTCAGCTGTTTGTCACCCAGTCCGGCTCCCTGCTTCCCCCTGTGCCACAGGACCCAGGCCTGACACTGGTTTTCCTTCTAGGGCCCCCGAGTGGAGATTCTGGCCAAAAACCTTCGCATCAAGGACCCAATGCCCCAAGGGGCACCACGGTGGGGGGCCACCCCCCCCCCCCCCCAGCTCTGTTTTTTACTCCAGGAAGGGCAGTTCCTGTTGGCATCAGCCTCCTGGTCCTACCACAGATAGAGTCTTGTGGGGCCTCCACTCGCTGTGGCAACTCTGAGGGCCACAGCCATGGCTTGGCCTGCCACCTGACTGCTACCCAGCCCCTGAGCAGCGGTTGCGCTCCCTCCCCGGGCCCCTGCTGGCAATCTGTCACTCCTGTGGTGACAGCTTTCTGCCACCTCCATCTGCTAGCTCCTGCAGCCCCTCAAAGGGTCCCGACTTCTCAGTCCCTGCCCACTCTCTTACCAGTGGCTGCCCAGGAGTTCTGAATAACTCTTGTTTTGAAGTAGTGGCTTCGGGCAGTGTCTCTCACTGTGTCCCACAAAGCCCCAGTCTGGGGGGGCTAATGGGTATTGCTACTTGGTAACTGTAATTTTGCCCTGTTAAGTGTAAATATACAGGATATCTGATAGTCGACCCTTGAAGGGGTCACGCCCCACAGGGGTCACACCCCACAGGTTGAGAACCGCTCTAAAGGACCCTCGTCTGCCTCTGAGAAGGGACGAGATGGCTTCAGCACTTATCACTCTGTGTGTTTTTCTGGGTGTGAATTACTTGTCCCCATAAAAGGGGAAGGAGCCGCCTTCGGTGGCCACTCTGCCTCTCCTCAAGCTCACGGCCTCTGTCCTCCAGGCTGTACCGCCTTTGCCAGCCTCCAGTGGATGGAGACCTTTGAACACCGACACACTCCCTTCTCATCCACTGCCTCTGCTCCTGCGACGTGGGAGGACACGGAGGGGCCACAAGGTGACCTGAGGCTTCTGCCACAGCCGTGTCAAGATCCACCCAGCTGACCCTGCTGCCATGGTCCGGGACGAGCCTCTGTGCACGTACCCTTCCTGGACTGGTTGATCAGCGCTGGGCTGGCAGGGCCTCCCTACGAATGCCTAAAGCCTGAGGGCTGCTTGGGGTCCCCAGAGCTCGTGAATGTAGCTGGGGCCTGGATGCCTGCACTCACCCGGGTTCCCTACACAGGGAAAGGTCACAGGGCCCCATAGGTGGAGGCCTGCGGACCCTGCTCTTCAGATGACAAAGCTGCACTTTGAACCTGGGTTCCCCCCGGGGCCACATTCCAGGAGACTGCCTGTTTCCCGTCCTGGCTGGAGCTTCCAGACATAACCCCTGCCCCTTACTAACCAGCTCAGCAGACTCGGAACAGCCCGGCCTCTGCCAGGAGAGGACACCGGGCTGAGCAGCCGTCACCTCATGAATACTTGAGAGCCCTGCCAACATGACCCACCACCATCGGAATCTGAACTGGCAGCTCTGGCACCAGATTGGCTCTGATGTTAATTTATATGACGCAGCATCTCCGTGGTTTATATTTTGTATTTTTTTTCTTACTGTTATTGGTAGTGTTGTAAAGAGTTTTTCCCTCCCTGCTAAGGGATTATGTCTTTGACACTTTAAATTTCAGAGAAAAGTATATTGCCTAATGGGACCAACCTAAAGTAGTATCAACAACTGTATTAAGTTCTACTAAAAAAAAAAAAACAAAAACAAAAACAAAAAACAAACAAACAAACAAAAAAAAAAACAAGCTAAATTATTGAAGAAATTCAAGATGTCATTATTTCCATTTTAAAATCTTAAGGTCGTGAGATGTGGCTCACCGGGTCCACTGCTTCCTTTCCCTGCCTCAGCACCCCAGCATCTGGCCATGCCGGACTTCGTTGTTTGAATGACTGGACCAGGGTTTGAGAGGTGGCAAGGCCGAGTTGTGGCTTAGGGCTGGGCTGTGTGTCACTTGTTTGATGTCGCCAACTCAGAACAGGGCACTGTCAGAGAACCAGAGAGATAGTCTGTTGTTCTACCTTCTGAATAGCGGGTCTGTTTGTTCCCCAGCTTCTGGACATTGACAGGGAAATGCTAGCATGGAGGAGGAAAGGGGGATGCCTCCTCACCTCCGGCTGGCTGTAAGGCTGGGTTGGGGGAATATGGTCTCTTCGGTCCTCAGGGGCCGGGCACCTTTCACTTGAAAGGGAGTCATCTTTGTTGATGTGTTTTGTTTGTCCCAAGAGCCAGGGCCCCCTGTTAACCCTACTGAGGGGAAGAGGGGGAAGAGCCCTGAGGGCCAGGGCATCGTGCCTGGTTTATTTTAAATGTACAGATTCTTTTCGTTAAATTCATGATAGATTTTTTATTATTATTAAAAGTCAGTATATAATACAAATAAGGTACGCTCTGCTTTGTTTGGTGGTGAGTGGTGGTGGTGGTTTTTCCCAGCTGAGACAGCTATTTGAGGCTTTTGACCCTGAGCAAACAACATTGGCCACTGCCTGAGTTCCCTGAGGAACCAAGACCAGGTCCTGTGCAACAACCAACAGGTTTTATATTAAACTCTGACCTAACTTTGGGGTCTAAGCTCTCGAATTCATTGTTGACAGTAGAGAAATGTGATTGTTACTTTTCTAGATGTTCCCTGCCCTGTCTTGGGTCTTTTCCATGTGTTTAAGAGTTGGGGCAGGTCCACGAGTACCAGAGATCTATTGTCTGCCCTGGTGTCTGAGATCATTGGATCCGAGCAAAAGTGGAGTTTGGAATCCTCATTTAGGGCGTGGAGAGATGGCTCTGGCAGTCAGAGCACTGGCTCTTCTTCCAGAGGACTCATGTGGCCGCTCACGGCCAGCTGTGAGCTCCAGGGAATCCGATGCCCTCTTTTGGCCTCCAGACACACACATGGTAAACAGACGTACATCGCAGGAATGACACTCAAAAAATTAGACACATAAATAAATCTTTTTTTTTTTTTTAAACACAGGCTTGGAATCCAAGCTGGCCACAAGCATGCCAGTCGTAACAGATTCCCATAGGCCCATCCCTGCTGCACACAGGCCTGGGCACAGGTGGGTCCCGCACTCTTTGTGGGTGTTTCATCTGCTTAGGCCGAAGCAGTCTTCATGAGTTGCCAGATTTGTAGATCCAGCCAAGCCAGTTGCTTCCTGGGCTGAATTTAACCTGCAGGCCTCAGCCATCCCTGGGTGACCTCTTCCTTTCCTCCAGTCTTCTCTTTGGTTTTCCTCTTCTTCCTCGTCTCTTCTCTTCTCAGTTCACACACACTGGAAAACACTGACATCCCCACCCATTTCTCAAGAGTCCCTTATAGTCTCCACCTGTCCCTGGTCTGTTGTGAAGGCTGCCAGGTTCCTGCCGAGAGGCAACCTTGCCTCTCAATTTCAG